CACACAGCCTAATAGGAAGGAGTAAGGTATACAAGGTAAACATGATAGAAGACAGTGAGGGCCAAGAGACAGGTACCCAAAAGCATTAGGGGAGTGTTCAAAAAAAAAAAAAAAAAGGAAGGAAGAAAGAAAGAAATGTCAACCATAAAAGGTTGTCTTGAAAAGGTTAGGCTTTGGCAAGGTGCGTTGGAGATAACACTTCAACAAGCAAGGATGGGTGGAAGGGAAGTGGATTGCAGGATGGGAACCCTGTGCTGGAGCAGTAAACTGCAGGCTATGTGGACAAAACATCAGGAAGTTAAATTTGATTGGAGGATAGGAAACAAATTACTTTGTAAAGCAAGACTTGATCTTGAAGAGTTTATTTTTCATTTATAAAATTGAGAAAAAAACGAAGGCTTTTGATCAGGTGTGGCATGATCAAAATTGCCTTTTATAAAGACTAATCTGGCAATAGTGTATATAGTAGGATGTTTTGTGTATCTGTTGGGATGCCTGGTGTGCAAGCCATAGAAAACCAACCTCAATATGGCCTGTCAACAAGGAAATTTGTTGTCTCATTTATAAGATGCCTGGAAAGTTGGGTTGCTCCAGGGTTGGTTATTTCAGCAGCCTTCCAGCCTGCTGTTGCTCTTCCATTCTCAGGACATTAACACTGTACCCATTGTAGCTCCCCTTAAGAAAGGGGTTAGTTACTGTGGTTCGCAACCATATACAATAACATCCAGAGGAAGAAGAGACAATCCCTTCTTGCTATTCCTCTCAGGAAAGAGGGAACCATTCTCCAAAGTCTTTCTCTTACATCTCTTGATGAGGAAAATGGGACCACCATGACTGGCTTTACCCAATTATTAAATACCCCTAGGAAATGAGGAAGGGTGAATCCCCAACAAAATTAGGAATCTGTAAATATGGAAGAAGAGAGGGATGGATGCTGGGGAGACAATAAATAGGGCCTCATACATGTTCCATAAAGGAGGAATCTGAAGCGAAAGGCCAGCTGGAAGTCTATGGCCCCATTCTGACTAGAAATAATAACTAGAAATAATAACTGCTTAAACTGAAAGTCCTGTTGTTCTTGCATGACATATGATTCCTGAATTTATCATATTCTCTGCTTGATCATCTTTAGAGATAGAGAACTCTCAACCTCCCGAGGCAAACCCCTCCCATTATTTAACAGCATTTGGTGTTGAGCCAAAACCCTGGTTCTTTTCCACAGGAATGGTTTCCAAGCCAAGAATTCCCCATATTGTATTTATGCAACTGAGGCTTTTTTTTTTTTTAATCTTAAATGATCTTTACTTCTGTCTCCATAAAATGTAGTATTGTTGGTTTCAGTACAATATTCCAGCCTGATCTTTCAACAACCGTTGATTAACTCTCCATTGTGTATAGGTATTATAGTAGGCACTAGGGAGAGAGAGATAACTAAAGGAGCTCACAGCCTAGTGGGGAACTGGACACAGGGACAAGTAATTACAAACCTAGCATGATAATGCTGTGATATGAAGCAGGGTTACACAAAGTGTGGACTCCAGAACCCCTACCTCAGAATCCTATGGGCACTTGTTAAAAGCACATATTCCTGCCTTACCCCGTGTCCTAGGAGTGGAATCTAGACAGCAGCATTTAAAACAGCATTCTGGTTGATTCTTATGCACCTGGATACCTACTAAGAGATTTCACGAACAGGGAGGCACAAAGGGAGGATATGAATTTCTGGGACTCTTTGAATAGCAACTCTGTCCTCCAATCATGACTCATCTTTCCTGGCTTATGGCATTTGCAAAAAGAATAAACAAACTTTCGCACCTTCTCTCAAGTCCCTGAGGAGAGTGTTGACTAGGACAGACCTGCAGCAAACCCCTCTGGGATATCACAGAGCCATAAATCAACACTCTCCAGTAGAGTGGTCCAAGCAGCAATGAATCCACCAAACTATGCTGTTAATTCAGACTACAGTTTACCATTTTATTGCAAAAGGAGGCATGGGAAACAGTGTCAGATATCTGAAGCCAAGATTGATGTCACCCATGATATTCCACTGCTCTTTGTGCCTCAGACACTCTGCTTTTGATTCTATGAAAAAGAACCTTCTGTTGGATTTTCCCTGACCCTCCTTGACACTTCTTGGTTAAGTAGAGACTCCGACTAACACCAGAAAACTAATTTTGTGGCCTCCACATTGGAGATTGGGCTGGGAAGATGAAAAGTCAGTATTTGGGCTAATAAAAAAATCTACTGTTTGAACTAAAACGAAACAATATTGCTACTATTCTGGTCTATCTGCCATCTGTCACCTGGACAACTATATCAGCTCCTAACAGATCTCTCTGTGTCCACCCTCACCCCTACAGTCAATTCTCCATCAGCAGTCAGAAAGGGCTCGGTATGAAGCCCTCCAATAACTTTCCATTGCAAGCATAAAAAAAGCTGCTTAAGATGACCTTCAGGGTTCATCTGGCCCCTGATCACTCTCTGACCCCTTTTTGGCCACTCTCCCCCTTGGTCACTATGCTCTAGCCACACTGACCTCTCTGCACTTTCATTTCAGGGCCTTTGTACTCTCTACTGCCCCACTCAGAACGTGCTTCCCCAGATCTTGGCATGGCTGCCTCTTCCTCATTGCTCTTCCTCAGCTCTCACCTCCTTAGCCTTCCCAGATCCCCTATCTCCGATAGCACCTGGCATATAGGAAACATGCAGTAAGCATGCTGAATAAATGAATGAAAGAATTGCTACATAAGCACTGGTATGTTTGGAGACATGTGGCAACCCTTTCTAGAGTTTGTTAATAAGATGACTTGCTGATGATATATAGGTAGAGGGGCCACACACTTTCCTATGCAAACCTAGTTATTCAAGAGTGAAAGGAAGATACCTGTATGCCAGGCCACAGCAGTAAACCAGGAGTGTCCCAAGCAAATGGAGATATATGACCACCCTAAATTACAGATAATTATGAAGACAATGCCTTTCCTCCCTCCTAGATGATAAACCACATGAGGGCCAGGAGTAAGCACAGCGTGTGGCACATGAAAGGTACGCAAGCAACATGTTGAATGAACTGAATGAATGAATCAATGAATGAACAACATGTTGTATTTGCCATGCTGACTTAATGGGAAAACTAGCTTTAGCCACCCAGACCACAGAACTGGCATAGGACAACTGCACTGAATTCTTGGTCCAGTGAAGGGCCACAGTGGTTTGCTTCCATTTCAGATTCGAGGGGGACTATCTATAGTTTCCCGTAGTTGCTGGCAGCCTCAGAAATTTATCAACCCCCACAGAAGGCCTCCACAGAAGCAGATTACTTCCCACGTGTTTACAAAGCCCCCACAAATATTTTCATAGCCATCATATGATAGGAATGTGGTGTTTTCACCCCTGTGCTACAGATGAGGAAACCTAGTGTCAAAGGAAGCTTATTGACCTGGACAGAGGCTTCAGGAGGCACTGTCAGGACCCTTCACGTTCCCATCATCCCAGCCAGGCTCTCCCATGCACCGCCAGGCCTTCTACTGCAGGCCCTGTGCCTGAGGGCCAGCCCATGCGGCCCTCAGCCAACAGGACAGGAGTCCCGCATGAATACTGCAGCTTCCAGCTGGGGCCAACTCCGAAGTGTGCTCCATACTGCCTCCCAGAGGCCCCAGGTAAATTGAACCCCAGTGCCCCCACTGTTAACTGCTAATCAAAACACTCTGTATTGATTTTAAAGAATGAAAAGAAAAAAGAAAAGAGCAAGTGTTGGCAAGGATACAGAGAAATAGGAAGGCCTGTGCATGACTGGTGGGAATGTTAAAATGGGGCAGCCACTGTGGAAAGCAGTAAGGTGTCTCCTCAGTACGTTAGGCATATAATTACCGTGTGATGCAGCAGTCCCACTTCTGGGAAAGCAGATGCTCAAAAAGATATCAGTGCACCCATATTCATAGCAGCATTGTTCCAGCTAGGACATATCCTGTGCCGGACAAATGGATGAACAAAATGTGGCATATGCATACAATGGAATATTATTCTTCCTTAAAATGGAAGGAGATTCTCACACATGCTACAACTTGGATGAACACTGCAGATATTACGTTAAGTGAAATAAATCAAGCACAAAGGGACAAATACTGTATAATTCCACTTACATGAGGAACCTAGGACAGTCAAAACCATAGAGACAGAGAGTAGAAGAGCGGGGCTGGGGTGGGAAGGGTGGGGTAATTATTGTTTAATAGGCACAGAGCTTCTTGTTAGGACATAGAACGAGTTGTGGAAATGAACAGCAGTGATGGTTGCATAACAATGTGAATGCACTTAGCACCACTGAATTGTACACTCAAAAAGGCTTAAAATGGTAGATTTCATGTTAGGTACATTTTACTACCAAAAAAAAACACCCCGAGGGAAAATGTACTATATATTGGCTGCCTTCCCTAGTTCACTCCCTTGCCACAGAAAGTATTGCACTCAAACCCTGGTATTGGTGTCTGCTTTCGAGGGAAACCAACCTATGACAAGGCTCATAAACTACAGAGCTAGGATGTAAACCACAAACTTCAAACCCAAGCCTGCAGGCATCAAGCTCCATGCTCTTTAGCTGTCCCCTGTGAGGCATCAATAAAATAAGCTTTATCAGCTAGAAGTCAGCACTTTAAGATTTTGCCTTGGCTGCCCTTGTTCTTTGCAGCCCCCTTGACTCATTGCAAAATAAGTCTCTTTGATTGTGTCGTAGAAAATAAAGACATAACACATGCATTTTATTACTAGAACCTAGTTCGCATTTCCATAGATCTCCATCTGACGCTTGGCTACTTTTCCTGAAATACGCAAGGAAGAAAAGGATGTATAAAAAGGTTCAGAGAGAAGAATTTTATCTAAGCTGTATATGGATTTTGAACTTTGTTTCTTAAATTTATTTCAGAAGTATTTAAATTCCAAGCATTGCAAATCTACCTCCGGGCTTCCTTCAGAGAAACATAATATCTGTTTGTTTCTCCCCACAGGTGAGGTGGTCCCTGGATGACCATTTCTACCCTTACACCTTCTGATGAACACCAATAAAAGCCTGGAGAAAAAGTATCACTCATTCAGTCTCATGGGTTCTGACCGAGAACAGCAATGTGCAAGCACAACTTCTCTATCATCCTTGGAATCCTCTGTGGTACCACAGATCGCCAACTTTGAGATTTTAAATCTGTGGTCTTCAAATCATGAGTACCAACCCATGAGTAAGTCATCACATTCTTTCCTTTAGTGAAATGGAAGAAAATAGAATGGGAAGCATCAGGGCTTACAGTGCCATAATGTTTGATGAAACTTGCCTCATTTATGTGCATGTGTTATAATTGGATTATTATAGAAAATGTATTTCTTATTGTAGGTTTTGGGAGGAAAAGGAACTGAAAGGCACTGTTAAAAAGTAAACCCTATAGCTCCATTAAGAGAACTTTCTGCATCTTTTTTTTTATTATGTTCAATTTACTCATGTAAAAGATGATTATCTTGACAAAAAAAAAAAAAAGAGAACTTTATACACCATTTACTCTGAGTATCAGGTATTTCCACCTGTCTCCAGATCCCTTCACTTTCTCCCCAGCTTGTTGGCCCTGCATTGCCATCACTCCCTTCCAAAAAATGAGAGCGTAACTGTGCTCCAGCTGCCCTCCCTGGCCTTCCTAGATTGTGTCCACCTCCAAAACAATGAGTCATTGACTCAAAAAGCAGCCTATTATTTCAGCCATGCATATAAACAAACACCACTACCACCACCCAGCTCACTGGTTCAGTGTTTTCATCTTTTAGTCGTTTGTTTGGCAAGATGTTGACATAGCCACCCACCCCGGCCACTGATTAAATGAACAGAGAGCTCGGACAAATTACATATGCCATCAACCATAATATATTAAATGAGACATCATATAGCGATGAATCTCTTCACCTCTCAGGAAACTTACAAGTTCATTCCCATATAAATGTTAAGTAAAACACAAGCACTTAGAGAGCCATAACCCAGAGAATTGGGACAGATTTTGAGGTCAGCCACTTGTAGTGCCATTTCTTTGAAAGACGAGCTTTTAAAAACCACTCTTCCTTCAAGAGGTCACATGGCACTTAACAACCCCCTTGTCCAGCCTCCCCTCTCTTACCCTCTTCTCAGCCCCTGCAAAACCCATGTCTTTCTTCTGCAGGTTAAAATAACCACTTGTGCTGAGTGGAGCCTGCTCCCTACAAAGTAAAGTGAACACGTTGCTCGGTGTAATTTCAGCAATTTGGGCCTGACTTCAGCCCAGCCTGTGTGTCAGCACTGACCAAATCAACCAGTTGACAACTGTGTCTGTTTTAACTTCAGGCATTGTGGTCACAGTCATTGGCACAATATAATTCCAAAGGGAATTAGGGTGGGGATTGGGGGATGGGTCGCTGTTCCATCATTCTTAAGACTCTACTATAGCACTCTTTATAATATTATAATTATTGGTCACTGTCATATTCCTCCTACTATCTTTGAACTCCTTGAAGGCAGAGGTGGTCTTTTACTTTAGCAGCTGGTGCGTACAGCAGGTGAGTATTCCACTTGGCAATGAATATCCTAACATTCCCTTGATCCTGAGAAGATTGAGGCTCTCGGCCACAGACTCTCTCAGCTTCCTTCCCTTCTACCTCAAAAGATATCCATCACCTTGACAACCACTACTTAATGGCCTTACGTGTCCATCCCTCCCTTGACTGCATTCTAAAAAATCAGATGTATCCTGCAAACTATTTCCAATAGTCTCTGCACGATGCTCTTCTGACTGAACCTCCAGGTGTTATTTTCACATCATTGAACACTCCTACCCCTTAAAACTCCAGCTCCTTGTCTCTGAAGCACTTGGCTTTCTGGATTTACCTCCTTCCTCTGGAAATGCTTCTTTTTCCTTCCCTGGCTCCTTATCTGCCTTTGACTAGGACATAAGCACTTCTCAGGTTCTCTTTTGGACACTGTTCACTCCCCCAACTCATTTTACAATTCATTCATTCATTCATTCATTCATTCATCATCTAGAGCAGAGGTCAAGAGACTACATCCCTCTGGCCAAATTTCACCCTCTCTTCATTTCCCTCAACTACCATACCAAAAACACTAGTTTTTTTTTAAATAAAGTTTTATTGGAACATAGCCACATCTGACCCATTTACATATTGTCTAGGCTACTTGTTCATTACAGTGGCAGGGCTGCTACAGTGACCCTATGGTCCACAAGCCTAAAATATTTACTCTCTGGCCCTTTACAGAAAAACCTTGCCAACCCGTGCTTTAGACTCTGAACCATGTCCAATCCACTTTGCTCACTGGTCTTTACTCATGCTCTCCAGATTCATATTTCAATTGCCTGCTAGACCCTTCCATGGGATCCCCGTTAACATCTCTAATCCAAGTCCCACACTATCTTCCTCACCAAACCCATTTCTGCACTCATTTGCCCTGTCAGTGGCCTCATCTATGACCTTCCTGTGGTGAAACTGAGCCTTTGCAGCCAATTTATGGCATCAGGGCTATGGAGCTATCAAGGGCTCCCAAGTTCAGTTTCAGTGGTAGCAATCGTGGGCATTGAACTGGTTTTACATTTACAAATCAGTATGACATTAGCAAAAACAAAACCAAAAAAGACATTTGAATTCAGTTCCCTTTTCCTTTCAAATCTGGCTCTAAATTAAAGTACTGGCACACTCACTTTAGTGTGGTGTCCTATCTCCATGACAATAGAGGAGGCAAAACTCCATGAACATGACACTGTTCTCTCCACTGACCTAAAAAGCCATCAGTCATTCTGTCCACATTTAAGTGCTACCTTCAAACTTCTGCTTAAGTAGCTGCAAGACTGAATTAGATATTACGGAAGAGAAATATAAAGACTAATATGTAAACAATATCACAGTCAAGTTTGTTGTATAATTCCCTTTTTCGATTCCCCCACCCCCAAGAATACCCTTCTTAATTGATTACTTCTCAAGTTATTGGAACGGAATAGAAATGTTTGGCCTATTAAGCTCTGCAAACGTACCAAGTGAACCTACCAGGATCTTCTTGGCAATGTTGGGAGTCCTCTGTCAAAGCTCTTTGAAGTTTGCTGGCTCTTTAGCAAAAAGGATGTAGAAGACTTTGTAGGCATTAGCAAAGACAAAGAGAAACAGTTGCTTGCTGTTTGATTTGTCCTTTCATCTGTCAGATTCCCTGGCATCTGCTATTTGTCAGACATGTGTGCTCGGTGCTGGGGATGCCAAAAGAGTGACACCACAGAGCTTCCCCGCATCTTCCTCCTAAAAGTCTGATAGAGGCCTCAGTGAGCCTGCTCACTTTGTAAAATCAAATGTATGGGGCCGCGGAGCAAGTGATTGATATTTATGGAATGAGTCAAGGTTGGAATGACATTCCCTGGATACAACTTCCCATCAGTTACAGAAGGAAGGAGGTGACCTCCTAAGTGCCTATGATAGGGCATATGCTGCATTATTTCTTAGTCTGTAGAGTATAGGCTGGATAAAATCCTGAGCCTTGTCAGAGAATGATGATAATTCAAGAAATGGGTTTAATAATCAGACTTCCACACACAGGGACTACATCATACTTGTTATACGGTGGCAACAGTCTTTAGTTCCAATGAGCTCATGCTTATATTTGAATGGTTGTAGTTTCAAAATTGGTTGTAGTTTCAAAGCACTGTAAAATATGTCATATCTTTTTTTTTTTAATTTTTTTAGAGAGAAAGAGCATGCAAGCTGGGGTGGGGAGGGGAGGGGGAGAGGGAGAGAGAGAATCTTAAGCAGGCTCCATGCCTAGCCCGGAGCCCAACGCAGGGCTCCATCTCATGGCCCTGAGATCATGACCTGAGCTGAAATCAAGAGTCGGGCGCTCAACCAGCTGAGCCACCCAGGCACCCATGTCATATCTTTCTTCCATTCAATAAATCTGTGGACCATGTATTTTCATCTCCACTAAGTAGCTAACAAAACTAGCCATTGGGAAGTTTAAAAGGGTATGAGTACACCCCCTGCCCCTGTGTCCGTAAACCCTGTAACCTGAATTCTCCAAGGAGCCACAGAGTTTATGAGTGAGCAGGGATCTACAGTCCTCACCTCTGGCCCAACCTGCTGCCGGATTGCTCTAGAGTCAGCACTTACTCTTTGACTTTTAAAGTTTGAAAGGAATACATTAAAAAGTAAACAGAAGGAGACCTCATGATCCCATAGAAAACCCATTCTCTGTTGCTGGTCAGTGGATGCTGGAAGGCAGAGGAGAACGGAAAGGAAATAATAGAGCAGTTAAGCAGCCACCAAAGCTCCAGCACTGGGCTCCTTTAGGAGAGGGAGCTTCAGAAGAGGCACCCCAGCACATCTTGGCCAGAGAGAAATGGGCAGGAGGCCCTTCAGCTCATACCTCAGGCCACATGCTAGGGACAATTCAGGCAGCTCCCCCAGTAAACCAGCCACAGGCAGGGCAGAAGGCCAACACCCTGCTCCTGGCTTCCTATTCCCTCTCTTCCCAAAGGCAGTCCATTCTTTGGCCTTTTTATTACCTTACCCCAATTTAACATGCTGTCCCAGAATCCAACCCCTGACTTCCCTGCATAGAACAATCAGAGAATCCTCCACCACAAAGCTCAGTGAGGACCCAGCCACCCTGCCCACCTGACTGCAGCCACATCCACCCAAGGTTGGACACATCAGGGGCAGCTGCCTGGCCATCCTTCTTGGCTAAAATTGACTGACCCTCACACTAAACTGGGAACTTCCCTGAAAGTGGAAAACTACTTCATCAAAGATAAATGACAAGGAACCTTGTCTTCGTGGTGCAGGCCTCTGCCAGAAGAGAAAGAGCAAGGAGTGATGAACGTCTCCCATGGGCAGCCTCTTGGCCGGCACCATGGCTGGGTCTCTTGGATTTTCCACGCATACAAATAAGAAGCCTGCTCAATGAACTGGTCACTTAAATAGGTTTTTCCATCTGTGGAGTTTCAATTTAAAACACCAACAAAGCCATCTTCGGAAAAGGTTCTCTTGTATCTATCCCTTCCAATTCACTTAAATTAATTAATCTGCTATTGTCCTCGCAACTGTGTGATGGGGGAGAGTTTCTAAGAATTGAGTTTCTTCTAAGAACATGATCTTGCTTGCTTATTTGATTTGCCAAATGCAGCAAGGGAGTATATTCTCTACACTTTCCCAAGATATATTACAGGGCTACTAATTTATTCTCTGTTAAATTGGGCATCTCTTACTTGAGAAAGTTGTTACAAGATAAATAGAAGAGAGAAGCATGTGATCATACCCTGTGGCCAGAGTTCATTTGAATTGTTTGAAACTTTTAACAAAGTCCACCAGAATTTTAAAAATAAGAATAAATGAACCATGCGGATGGAGCAAGAAATGATACTGCTCCCAACAGAGTACTTTTTTCCATCTTCCAGGGACATGCAGTCAGTAAACAGATTCCACCTTACTGCACCCCGCCAGGCAGACAGAGTCAAGTTCACTAAGTCTCATGGAAGGAGAAAAGAAGGAGAAGGTAAGGTCCTGCCTAAATCAATGCAAGCCACATTGTTAATGGTTCTATAAGACCAGAGCTGTTGTGTCAAGTCCCCTCCACAGAGGAAAGTAGTTAAGAACAGGAGCCCCAGAGCTAGGCTGACAGGGTTCACATCCCAGCTCCACTACTTACTCACCTCTTTGTAATTCAGTTTCCTCCTTGGAAAAATTAGGATAGTAATAGTATCCCTCCTAAGATTATTGTGAGGACTTTTTTTTTTAAGATTTTATTTATTTATTTGACAGAGAGAGACAGTGAGAGAATGAACACAAGCAGGGGGAGTGGGAGAGGGAGAAGCAGGCTTCCCACGGAGCAGGGAGCCCGACGCAGGGCTCGATCCCAGGACCCCGGGATCATGACCTGAGCCGAAGGCAGACTCTTAATGACTGAGCCACCCAGGCTCCCCTATTGTGGGGACTTCTTGAGTTAATATATGTGAAGCTGTTAGAAAACGACCAGTAAACCATGTATGTATTTGCTAGTATTTACGTACACCATAACAGAACCTAAGATAATCAAGTATCTGCTAAGAAGGGATATTCTGAGAAACTCTTTTATTTTTTTTTTAAGATTTTATTTATTTATTTGACACAGAAAGAGCGAGAGAGGGAACACAAGCAGGGGGAGTGGGAGAGGGAGAAGCAGGCTTCCGGCTGAGCAGGGAGCCTGATGTGGGGCTTGAGCCCAGGACCCCGGGATCATGACCTGAGCCGAAGGCAGACGCTTAACGACTAAGCCACCCAGGCGCCCCCTGAGAGCCTCTTTTAATGAATACATCAGAGAGAGGTCATTTTTTTATATGCAGACATGACACTGCTATATTGGATTTTTAGTTGTCTTTTTAAGTATTTAGAAACAATTGATTTTTTAAAGTAGAATAGTCATTGTACTGGTTTGGATATAAATTTACGTTAGTAACTCTGTCCCTTCATAAAAAGTATAAGCAACTATCAAAAAGTTCAAATCATCTGGGTCTAAATAATAGAAATTTTTTAGGTTCCCTATTTTACCTGGTTTACATGTGAGAAAATAATTAGAAGCAGGGAAGGGACAGCCATACACTCCAGAAATTAGCATCAGATCTGGGATCTTTTCACAAGACATACCTTATGGATTTTATTTTCCTTAGAACAGTAAATAGGCCCACTAGAGAATATGTGGAAAACTGAGATAAGTAGGTAATAGAAAAGAAGAAAAAATAAACTTTAGTACCAGCTTCCAAAACAATTACCCTGAATGTTATGATGTATTTCCTGCCAATATTTTTTCCATACATAGAATTGATAACTTTTGTTGTTTTTACACAAGAATTACATTAAATGTAAGATTTATCATCTTCCTCTTTTTCTCTAACCTTACAGCATAAGCATTTTTCCATATTAGTACCCTGCTTCAAATCCTGTCTCATAACTCAGGATTTAGTGGTGTCTTTTCTATTCCTGCACCAAGACCTCATCCTTCCTTTAGACATGAACAGGCAGCCCAGCTCCATCCTCCAGATGTGTATAGGGGGAAACATGTGGGCTTAGGTATAATAAAACTAGGTTAATAAAATGTTATCTTTAGAGTTCTCAGCAACATAATACACTTATTAATATCTCAATATATGAGTTAAATTATACATGCTAATGCTGTTTTTAACCAACTGTGATAGTACTAATGTCCCAAGTAAGTCAATCCCAGTGGAGGATTATATTGATTATCTCTGACTGCCATAACAAAGTACCACAAACTGGATGACTTAAAACAATAGAAATTTATTTCCTCACAGTTCTGGAGGCTATAAGTCCAAGATCAAGGTGTCAGCAGGTTTGGTTGCTCCTGAGGCCTCTCTCTTTGGCTTGTAGATGGCTGTCTTCTCTCTGCATCTTCACATGGTCTTTCTTCTAGATGTGTCTGTATCCTGATCTCCTTTCCTTATTAAAAAAAAAACCAAAAACCAAAAAACAAAACAAAACAAAAAAACAGTCATGTTGGATTAGGGCCCACCCTCATGATGTTATTTTAACTTAATTACCTCTTTAAAGACCCTGTCTCCAAATAGTCATATTCTAAAGTACCGGGAGTTAGAACTTCACCATATGAATTCTCAGGGGGCACACAATTCCACCTACAACAAGGATCTATTAGACTGTATTACTGCACCTATGAGTTTGTTTTAATAGAGGCATACGTTTCTTTTTAGTGGTGCCAACTGCAGATCTAGAAAAACTGAGAGCTGAGACTGTGTCTTAAGTAACTCTTTATTACTAAGATCTCACCACAGTGTTTGGCACTGTGAGTGGGAAAGAAATTAAGTGCACAGACCAGACACACTTTATCAGTCTGTTCGGGCCTTCAAAGACTAAAAAAGAGGGAGGTTAAAATTCCATTTATTTGTTTTCTAATGTGGCACCTAACTTTATCCCCAGCTATGAAGATGAGCAGTGACTTATTTGTCCAGAGTTAGGGTGAACTAAAACATACTAGCTCTTTTTTTAGTTTGAGGGAATATTTTACGCTCTTCCTATGTGCATTCAAAGACATTTTCTTATATGAGGTTAGTTTTTACAAAAAGCAGGGGAGGAAGGAAGGAAGAGAGGAAGGAAAGAAAGGGGGGGGAGGGAAGAAAGCAAGCAAGAGAGAGAAAGAAAGAGAAAAAGAAAAAGGAAAAACCCAGAAGGGTCATTTTCTTTTCTAAGTTTTTTTTTCCCCACTCTTGTGACTGTTAAGAGCATAAGCGTAAGGTTCACACAAATTAATTCATTTAATTCCCCCAATAGCCTAGTTGGGTAAGTGTTATCATCAACATTTTGCCCTAGAGGAGCCAAGGCTCAAAGAGGTGAAGGTATTTGAACAAATCACACAATTATTAGTGGCAGAATCAGACCTGAACTTTCATTTTCCAAACCCAAGCCCAGTGCTTATTCACATCCATTCTTGGTGCTCCACCCCCAGTGGAGATTCACATGTTGGGTTCCCATGCCTTCTACCTTGAAGAACAGTAGGAAGTTGGGGAAGAACACTAAACTACAGGATATGACAGTTGGGCCCTACATCAAATTAACTGTGTTACTTTGAGCACGTTAATTTCCTGTTACCCTGAGTTCTCATTTGAAAGGGGATATGTTGCACAATGTTATCTTTAAAGTCCCATTAGTTATGTAAAATTCTATGATGGGCAAAAAGGAAGTTTGCATACCGCTGGTGGAGTAGTTCCCTGAAGTAAGGTTTGATAGCACTCTATAATTCTTGCAATTAATTTCCAACAGATGTGTGGGCCTTCTGCTATCACCACATCAAAGAGAAACTTTGGGGCGCCTGGGTGGCTCAGTTGGTTAAGCCCCTGCCTTCGGCTCAGGTCATGATCCTGGAGTCCCGGGATCGAGTCCCGCATCAGACTCCCTGCTCGGCGGGGAGTCTGCTTCTCCCTCTGACCCTCCCCCTTCTCATGCTCTCTCTATCTCATTCTCTCTCTCAAATAAAT